AGCATTGAAAACAAAAATAAAAATATATTAATCCTAATTATTTTGAATTGTACAAAGATGTATGTATTTACTCGAGTTACTTTACAGCTTGATTTTTCATTCTTAAATTCTGCTTCATTTTAGAGTAAATTATTGGGAGACACAGCATATGACCTTCTTTGGTACAAGATGCGTCCAAAAGAAACTCGATTTTTAATACCCGTGATATTAAGAAGTCAAAATGGATTTATTTTGACATTTGGAAAATTTGCTAGTCTTTCTATGGAAAGCTTTATGGCTGTAAGCTATTTATATGTATTTTACACTTATTATTAGTGATTTTAAGTACTTAGAACTGATTAATAAAAGTATAAACATAATAAACACAATATAATTATTTTTATTATTATTACTTAGAGAATATTTAATAATTTCATTTGATTGTAATTTAACGAAATTTAAAATAACGTTATTTTATATTTTCAGATTATGAAAGCTTCAGGATCGTACATATCAGTCTTACTTGCTATGACGTGAAGAAGAAATAGTACAAAATAATTTATCATAATTTAATTATATTAACTGTTTATCAAATAATTGTTATAGTATATAATGTAAAAAGGCACTATATATTGAATATGTAGAAATAAATGCAAATGTTTAACATGATACGTAAAGTTTTGTTTCTCGTTCGATTTTTATTTTATTTTACAATTATTTTAATATAATATAGTGATAAGAATCTTTCGTTAATTACAGTAAAAAGTATAAGGTGTGTATATATAATTTTTGTATAATAAATTTCAAATTTGGGAGAAAAATGAATTATAGAATTTATTTATATAGTATAATAATTATATAGATATAAATAAAATAAATAAATTATAGTTATTTCTATACTTAAACATTTTTGATCTTTTAAAATCGTTTACATAGAATCGTTAATTTATGAAACAACGCTTTTTGATTTCAGGGATTAAAATTATATTATCATACATCGCAATGCTTTTTAAAGTACTTAATATGAAGCTCCTACTGCCATGAAGTTGAGATACCAACATGTTGCAGTTGTGTAAACATAACCATAGCTACTTAAATGTGGATTTTGTAAAACATTCATCCAACACGAGTGGAATACTGTTCATACGCTAACGTTTGCGGAGGATACAGTAGCATTTGACTATTAAGCCA